AGTCATCCATCAGGTTATGACCTCTGCTCTCTTGACCTAATCACCTCTTTTGCTGGTTAGATTTTGTCAGTTTGTCAAAAGCTATAGTCATCTGGGAAGAAGGGCCCTTACCTGAGAAAATGCCTGTATCAGATTGGTTGGTGGTACGAGGATTCACCTGTAGGTGGTGCCACACCTAGGCAGGTGGTTGTTCCCAAAATGTACCAAAAAAGCAGTTTGTGAGGCAAGACTTGTTAGATCCTTTATAAGGTTCACATAGCAGGTGTGATGGTGCAAACCCGTAATCCCAGTACTCAGGGACACAGAGGCAGGAGGATCAGCAATTCAGGATCATCCTTAGATAAATAGTCAGATCACCTTGGGCTAGATGGGACTGTCTTCAGAAAGCCAAAGGAAAAAAACACTAAACTTCTTGTGTATGAGGCTGGGGTTCTAACTATATTTTTAAATGTTTGAGTGCATGTGCAGGAATGCAAGTAGATACCGGAGAACGTTGGGTTTGGGTCTGAGATAGGTCCTACAGATCCTGTGCTACTGCTTCGGGTACCGAGGATCTGAGTTCAGGTCACCAGGCTCACACAGCAAGTGGTTATTTTCACTGAGGCATCTCTCTCCAGCCCTAAAACATGCATTCTTATTAGAAACTTGGCCAATTAACTGCTAACCCTGGAAAAAGAAAAATTCAAGAAAACAAAAATTTCTATAATATGGTATACTCCTACTCTCAGTGGTAACTAATATTCACACATTAGTACCTATTTGTGTGTGTGTGTGTGTGTGTGTGTGTATTGAGACAAGGTCTCAACTATGTATTCCTGGCTGGCCTTGAATTCAGAGGATCCATTTGCTTTTGCCTTCCAAGTGCTTCTGTGTAGCCTTGGTTGTCCTAGAACTTGTTCTGTAGACCAGGCTGTCCTCAAACTCATGAAGAGCCACTTGCCTGTGCCCCCCAAGTACTGGGATTAAAGGCATGTGCCACTGCCTGGCTATACATAACTTTTTAAAAACAGTTAATGTATATGTGTGCCTTAAGTGTTCTATTGCTGTGAAGAGACACTATGATCATGGCAACTCTTATAATAGGAAGCATTTAATTGGTGCTTGCTTATAATTTCAGAGGTTTAGTCTATCACCTCATGGAGGGGAACATGGTACCATACATGCTGACATGACAGACACTGGGTCTGTCTTGTGCTCTTAAAACCTCAAAGCCTACCCACAGTGACACACTTCCCCCAACAAGGCCACACCTCCTAATCCTTTCAAATAGTGTTACTCTTCGATGACCAAGCATGCAAATCTATGAGCCTATAGGGGCTATTCTCTTTCAAACCACAATGTATTTTGTCTGCATGTATATATCCATACATAGATAGGTAGATGCACCACATTTGTGAAATGCCTATAGAAGCCAGGTGTTGGGTACCCTGAGACTGGAGTTATAGATGGGTGTGCGCAATGCTCTTAACCTCTGAGCCATTTCTCCAGCATACTAATAAAATTTTATAGGCATGTAGTATTAGTAAATTATAAACAACTTGAAGAAAACTTTTTTTTTAAAGAGAGGGTCTCAATATACATCTCTGTCTGACCTTGAATTTACTATTTAGCCCAAGCTGACTTTACACTCTTGGTAATCCTGCCTCAGTCTCACAAGTACAGATTAAAAGTGTGTCACAAAACCCACCTAAACCAAATCTTCATGTGTGTGTGGTTATGTGTTATGTGTGAGAGAGCAAGAGAGATACATGGATAGATAGATAGATGATATATAGATACAAAGATAAACAGAGATAGATGATATATAGATACATAGAGATAGATGATAGACAGACAGGTAGATAGAGAGCATGTGTCAAAAAATAATTTTGTGGAGTTGGTTCTCCATCCATCTTGATCTAAGTCCTGGGGAACAAACTCAGTTTTCCAGGTGCAGGCAGACTTTGCTCATTCATTTCTTGGCTGTTTGGTTGTAAATAGTCACACAGAAACTATGTTGATAACAACACTATTTGGCCAATAGATTATGCATATTTCTAGCTAAGTCTTCCATCTTAAATTAACCCACTTCTATTAATCTGTGAATCACTATGAGGTTGCAGCTTACCGGTAAGGTTCTGGCTGCTGGCTGGCATCTTTCTCCTTGGGCAGCTACATGACGTCTTTGACTCCTCCTACTTTCTATCTCTGTTCAGATTTCCCTCCTGGCTTTACTCTACTAAGTCACTGGCCAAAATAGCTTCTTTAATAACTAATGGTAATAAAACATATTCAGAGCATACATAGGGGAGTTCTACATCATTCAGGCTTGTATAACACATGCTTTTGCCTGCTGAGCCACCTCACCAGACCAAACTAAATCTTTTAAATTAGATTAGTAGAGTTTTTCACTGTATAGAAAGACAGCAGTTCATTTGTGCTACTATAAAAAAATATACTTAAGACTGGGCCATTTAATAGGCACAGAAATTTACAATTTTAGAGTCTAAAAAATTCTAAATGAATGTGCTGGTAGGTCTGGCACGCCAGTTTCCAAGAAAATGCCTTAAATTTTAAATAGAGCAATAAGTTTGTCATCAAATTTAAGGGGATGGCCTGGAGGGATGGCTCATCTGTTAAAGGCTAGGCTCACAACCAAAAGAGTTCGATTCTCAGCACCCACGGCTGTCCCTCTAGGTACAAAAAAAAAAAAAAAAAAAAAAAAAGGGGAAATGATCTTTTCAGTAAGTGGCTTTGAATTAGCTGGTGTCTGTATGGAGGAGAAATTTAACTATCTCTACTGTTATACTTTTACAAAAGTTGACAAAGTATATAAACAATAGACTTAAATGTTGAAAGTGAAAGATTTAAAAAATCTTTTCATAGCTTTTGAATAGGCAGTCTTACATGTGACACAAAAGAATTAAACTTGTTTCAGATAATATTAAGAGAATGAGATGACAGCTGGCACAAGGTATCCAAGAAACAGTTCACATCCAACCATACAGAGCATTGTAAACTGAAAACCAGCATTTGCTTTAAAAATATTTATGCAAAAGCCAATTCTCATCTTTTTTTTTACACATCTGTTCCTTTATAGTTTTGTGTCAGCTGGGCACACTTGAAACACTTTCAACTCAAAAGATCCAAATTGAAGCTCTCTCCTTTCCCTTACAAACCTGCTCAGCTTCAATTTCAGCTAACTGTTCACCAATTAATTCAATCTAGAAACCCACACCTCTTTCATTTTAGTGGCCAGAGGGCCCTACTTTGCCTCAAGTCTCTCTCACACTTTCTTCTTCCTTTTTACCATCAGTGGATTCAGATTCCCCCCCCCCCCATCTAGTATCAACAGTTCTCTTTTCCTCACAAACATTCATTCACAACACAGATGGGAAATGTCTACAGCTTGCAAATTTGTAACACTTTAAACTTTTTATTATTCTACACCTCTATCTCTTGATGACCAGGTGCATACTTAATCCATGTACTCTTTCGTTTCTCCAACTTGAATACGGCTCACGTTTCCTTGCATTTTCTTACCTTCCTTCCTTGCTACCTCCCACCCTCCCTCCTTCCTTTCTTTTTTCCCTTTGTTTTTTTTCGAGACAGGGTTTCTCTGTAGCTTTGGAGACTGTCCTGGAACTAGCTCCGTGGATCAGGTTGGTCTCGAACTCTCAGAGATCTGCCTGCCTCTGCCTCCCAAGTGCTGGGATTAAAGGTGTGCTCCACCACTGCCCAGCTCCTTGTATTTTCAAATGCCACGCCCCTCCCCATTTTTTGCAGCTGCATGGGGTGAGTGGCGGGTGTTTTTGTTTTTTTGGTTTATCGAGACAGGGTTTCTCGGAAGCTTTAGAGCCTGTCCTGGAACTAGCTCTAGTAGACCAGGCTGGCATTGAATTCAGAGATTCGCCTGCCTCTGCCCCCCCTCCCAGTGCTGGGATTAAAGGCCGTTCACCACCACCGCCTTTTTTTTTTTTTTTAAATTAAGTGGGATTGCCACATGCTGAAGATTTTGGCCTTTATTGGAGAAAAGTACTAGAAAGGCGGGGAAGAATAAGTTTGGCTTTTTATTTTGAGTTAAAAGTCAGAAGAATGAGCGAATTTAACAGTGACGTTAAGTCAGCAAATGCCTGAACTGTAAATTTTTTTCTTCATTGACTCTCATGTTTTCAAACTGAGGTATTATATTATGTTTAGGGAAGACATCGACCACCTCGTCATCCATTTTGTAAAATGACTCTCGGGGCATATTAACAGCTCTTAAATCAATTCTGATCTGCAGTGTGGGTGCAGTGCATACTTTCATTCTGTTACTCGCTCTGTTGAGCCTCTCACTCCCACTCCTTCCTGTTGCCCATTACCACTTCCCCTCAAGGACCTTGCCGGAAGCTTCCCCGTCTGACTTTTGCCTCTAAGAATGGCGAGTGTGGGAGGGGAGGCCTGACCGGGTAGTTAGAACACATGACATCACTAATTTAGGCCAACTTCCATCCACCCGGTGCCTTCAAAAGAGGCTTTTCTTGGTTTGGAAGGCCGAATAGGAAGGAGGTTTGGGGTGTGGAGAGGTAGGATCTGGCCGTACCTCCCGAAAATACTACCCTCAGTGTCGGTAAAGCGACTTCCGGCGAGCCAGCCCGTCGGAGTTCCCCGCTGACCGCCGTGCAAATTCATGCGCCATACCCGGCTCCGCAGCCGGAAAAAGACCTGGCAGCCGCGAATGACGTCACGCGCAGCTTGGCCGCCTGCGGGAGCCATGATGGAAACCGGAGAAAACGGAGCTTACTTAACGTGGCACACTTTAACGGAGCAGCGAACTCCCCCGACCGACCCCGGTGCCTTACAGCGGGGTTTTGAAGCAATACTAGGGGTCCTGCGAGCCGCGCACGAACTTCCCCGGGCAGGCGGCAGGGCGCAGGCCTCCTGACCACGCCCCCGGGGCGGGACCAGGCGCGCGTCACCGGTCGGGGGCGTGGCCGGAGAGCGTTTCCTCCTCTTTCCCAGCGGGCCGCGCGCCCACCTGCCCGCCCTTCGCCTCCTTTTCCGCGGCCGCCTGCTGCGCGCCTGCTGATTGGCTGCCGAGGACGGAAGCTCTGTTGGTGTTTCTTCAGAAGTTCCCCCCCCTGGGCGGCGGCAGACCTGGTAACCAAGGTAGAAAACGCTCGGGCCGAAGCTTTAGTGGTTCTTAGGGATGGCGGCAGCTGCAGCAGGATCTGCGACGTCCCAGCGGTGCGTGATTTTTCTTTACCTTTGCTATTTGTCTTACTATTCTTTCCTTGGTTAGTAAACCCTGCTGAAGTCCTTGTTTTCCTGGCAGGTTTTTCCAGAGCTTCCCAGATGCTCTGATCGACGAGGACCCCCAGGCGGCGTTAGCGGTGAGTGAGCTCATTTCTGCTCCATTCGCACTGGGACTGTTGGGTTCCTTTAGACCCCGCCTGTTTCCATCTTTACCTTCGTGGGACCCAAACTACAATTTTCAGTGTGTCTCAGTTCCAATATTAAGATCCTGAGATCCATTTCTTTGTCCCCTAATGATCCCTTTGCCACCTATCTTGCCCTTCCACTCAGACTTAGGCACCTCCCTCCGATTCATTTCTTGGACACTTAGTTGCCATCTGTGATTGGCCTGAAACGACCTCTTTTTCTGGCGTTTATGATCAAGGGAAGGGCGAAGGTAGGGCTTAATGTACCATTTTTTAATTTGACAGTTTTGGTTGCCTATGTCAGGTGCTGTTAAATGCCCTTAATTGAACGAAATTTACTAAAGAACATTTTTGCTTCTGTGCCTGAAACTTTATAGATGTCTGTCTGTCCTTTTTTCTTCACGCATTTGTTTATAAAAACGTGTTTGTATACCTAGTCTGGCCTCAAACTTTGGATCCCGTGAGCGCTTGGGATACACCGCTAAACCCTGCCTGAATTTTTAATATTGTGTGTGTTGCCTTTGGACTATTTCAGGTAAAGTCTGGAGCAAACGATCTATCTATGGATGTTGATTAGGAGCACTGGCTGGTCTGGAGAGAGTTGCTAGCACATATCAAGTATGGTGGCACAGGCCCTGTATCCAAGTACTCGTGAGGGTCAGAAATTCAAGGTCATCCTCAGCCTCAGTGTCAATTGAGGCTACCCTTGGATTTATGAAACCTTGCTTGACAGTTTAGAGCTCTAAAAATCACACTGGAAAAAGGAACCCTAAAGAAATCACTTTTCAAGAGGCTAGTGACCTAGTAGAGCTACCCTGTTGCTTGAATGTTTCAAGCTTGGTTTTGTATTTCAGCTTCACTGAGTGATCATCAGGTCAAGCAGATAATTGAGTAGCAAGCTGGGTTTTGGTGGTGCACGCCTTTAGTCCCAATATTTGGGAGGGAGAGGCAGGTAAGAAAGATCTCTGAGTTCAGACCAGCCTACTGAATGAGTTCCTGGACAGCCAAGGTTAAACAGAGAAACCCTGCCTGGAAAAACAAAGCAAAACCAAACAAAACAAGGTGGGGCTGGAGAGAAGGCTTAGAGAACATAGGCTGCTCTTCCAGAGGTCCTGAGTTCAATTCCCAGCAACCTCATGGTAGCTCACAACTATCTACAATGAGATCTGGTGCCCTCTTCTGGCATGCCAGTGTACATGAAGGTGGAACACTGTATACATAATAAATAAATAAAATCTTTTAAAAAATAAAAACAAGGCGTTAGTGACTTTGAGATTAAAACTGGAAGCAAATGTGTTTTTTTCTTTTGCCAAAGCAATAAAAGCAAAAAGGAGAAAATGGGGAGGAAAGAAATGAATAATGATTGAATTAATGAATGCTTATTGCGTGCTGGGAACAGATCTAGGCTGTCCCCAAAGCCCTAGGATCATTGTCAAATGCTGCTCTGTCTAACATATTCCTTGTAACTCTGTAACTGTAGTGGCGACTACACATTCCAGACTTATGTATTAGTTTTTCTGTTTGAATGAAAATGGGTTCAGTAAAGAAACCAAAATAGCTGCTCTGTGAGTGAAAGGGGGAAGTGTTTATTTCAAACTGCCAAGGCAAAGCAGAAAAGCAAGGAGAAGAAGAGAGAGAGAATGATAGAGTGTGTGTGTGTCTGTCTGTGTGTTATGTGGGGAATGGGTACCTGAGAGGACAGGAACCTGTGGACTGGGGTGAGGGTTTGTGAGTAGGGAGCTTGAAGCTAGCATTGACCTTGACTTACTAAAAGGCCAAGCCAAGCCTTAAATCCCTTTTGCCAGAGATGAGGAGAATGACTCCCTTTAGCAAGTAGTAACTATTTTCAAGCCTCTGAGAAAATGCCAGCTTTTGTCTAAAGGAATACCTGGGGAGAACCCGATACTGTTTCTGGTCTTGCTTTGTTTTGCTGTGTTAATGACACAGTAGCCAGAATGACAGTTTTAAAATATAAGTTGGATCATGTTACTTCTCTACTAAAACTTTCCATGACTTTCCATCACACTGACGGTCCAGATTCCTAATAATGGCCTGCAGGGCTCCTGGTGAAGAGAACAACTTGGAGCTTCTTTTCTCTCTATAGAGCTACACTGTTGCAAATGCTTCCAGCTCAGTTCTACTTATTTTTCCCAAAATATACTTGACCTATATCTCATTTTACTTGGGAATGCTTTTTTCTTCAGAGTTCACCTGAAATGAACCCTGTTGAGCGGAACTGGCTTTGTTGTGTAAATCGAAGCTAGGCATGACAGTAGTGTCTACTCCTGATGGGCAAGCCCTCCTGCATGGTTCTTGCAACACTGGCGTTCTCTACATTTTGCTCAGTAGGGAGCTGAAGCAAAGAGTGAAAAGGTTACCTTGCTCAAAGCAAAAAAAAAAAAAAAAAAAAAAAAAACCAGCTTGGAAGCTACAGGTGTCTGGTTTCAAGGGATCAAGGTCATATGCGGGCGGGAGGTGGGGAGAACTGGGGATACGTGGACACGTGGTGTACCCGCTAGTAGTTGACTTGGAAGGAGCTTTGTGGAGAGCTCAGCTGAGATTGATAACTGTGTGGTTATCAGTTCTTATTGGTGTTGGTGTTTTCCTCCCTAGCAGTGCAGAATCGTCTTAATGGAATGATGCTCTGTCTCTGCGCTTAGAAAGTAGCTCGGTTCCTGGGGAAAGGAGGAGCCAGATGGAGACATACCCAGTTGTTCTTTGAATCTTAAGTAGCATTTTAAAAGGGCTTAAAATTTTAAATATTTGGCTGGGTGGTGGTGGCGCCCAGCACTCGGGAGGCAGAGGCAAGAGGATCTCTATGAGTTTGAGGCTAGCCTGGTCTACAGGAGCTAGTTCCAGGACAGGCTCCAAAAGCTACAGAGAAATCCTGTCTCAAAAAATATTTTTTGACAGCCTTGATGGGATTTGAATTCCTGTCCTCATGTATGCTAAGTACCTGGCCTACTAGCCCCAGTTTCAAAGTCTTAATTATTTATTGAGACAGGATTTTTCATATTCCAGGTTAGCCTCAACTCGTGTAGCTGATGATGACCTTGAACTTCTGACTGCCCATGCATGCTGTGTCATACCCAGTTTTTCTTTAAAAAATTTTTTTATTGATATTTATTGAGCTCTACATTTTTTTATGCTCCCCCCTTGCCTCTTCCCTCCCCCTTCAACCCTCCCCCATGGTCCCCATGCTCCCAATTTACTCAGGAGATCTTGTCTTTTTCTACTTTCTACTTCCCATGTAGATTATATCTATGTAAGTCTCCCTTAGTGTCCTCATTGTTGTCTAAGGTCTCTGGGATTGTGGTTTGTAAGCTGGTTTTCTTTGCTTTATGTTTAAAAACCACCTATGAGTGAGTACATGTGATAATTGTCTTTCTGTGTCTGGGTTACCTCACTCAAAATAATGTTTTCTAGCTCCATCCATTTTCCTGCAAAATTCAAGCTGTCTTTTTTTTCTGCTGTGTAGTACTCCATTGTGTAAATGTACCATATTTTTCTAATTCATTCTTTGATCGAGGGGCATTTAGGTTGTTTTCAGGTTCTGGCTATGACAAAGAAAGCTGCTATGAACATAGTTGAGCATATGTCCTTGTGGCACGATTGAGCATCCTTTGGATACATACCCAAAGTGGTATTATTGGGTCTTGAGGAAGGTTGTTTCCTAATTTTCTGAGAAATCGCCACACTGACATCCAAAGGGGTTGTACCAGCTTGAATTTCCACCAGCAATGCAGAAGTGTTCCCTTTTCCCCACAACCTCTCTAGCATAAGTTGTCATTAGTGTTTTTGATCTTGGCCATTCTTTCAGGTGTAAAATGGATTTTGTATCCAGTAGGGAAGCACTCTGCCTACTGAGCCACCTTTATAGGAAAAAAAAAGTCTATATTAAAAATATTTTTCCTTCAACCTGCCGTCTGGTTTATGTCTTATGTTTAAAAATACTGTTTTGAATTTGATCTTGACATCAAAACTTTTTTGGTTATAATATTCCTTTTCTTTTTGAGACAAGATCTCTCTGTGTAAGCCCTCATCTTCAAATTCTCTATAAACCTGACTGGTCTAGAACTCAGATCCCTACCACTGCCCCTGTGCTGGGATGAAAGGCATGCGCCACTACACCAGCTCATTGTTTTGAAAATTAGGTACAAGATTGATTTAACCTAGGGATTTCAAAATCCTAGAAAACGTCAGTGCAGGTGCGGTTGGTGAGAGACGCTTGGGGTAAGTCCAGCTCCGGGGCTTGACACACCGGGATTTGAACTAGTCTCTGGTATAGTTTTCTCACTAAGGAGGTAAGAAAATGAATTTTCTGTGTGGGGGGGCCCCCCCGGAAAGAGAACACTCTAGTTCAGTGGTTCTCAGTCCTCCCAAGCTTTGAATCCTTTAACAAAGTTCCTCATGTTGTGGTGACCCCCAGCCCTAAAATTACCGTGTGTTGCTACTTCCTAGCTGTAATTTTGCTGCTGTTATGAATCGTGATGTAAACATTGTTTTCTGATGGTCTTTGGTGACCTTGTGAAAGAATTATTTGACCCCAAAGTGGTTGCAGCCCACAGGTTGAGAACAGCTGTCCTAGCCAGATGAAACAATAGATTTTAGGGGCAACTTGGTGATCTTGGCTGGACATGAATGAGCTGGGGGAAGAGTAATAAATACAGTGTTAGAGATGAAGGGTTGTAGGATGTCCTGCTAAGAGAAGCCTTGTGGAAGAACCTAGACTTTGCTTGACATAGTTTGAAAGCTTTGTTCAGAGACACAGCAAAGGGGTTGATGTTACTCATTGGATTAGATACTTGTAGTGCTTTCGAAGTGGATGAGTATAGGTATGTTTTTTGGTTTGTTTGTTTAATTTTTTTCCAGATAAGGTCTCAGTAAACCAAGCTGATCTGTAACTTGCTATGTAGCAGAGGAGGACCTTGAACTCCCTCACCAGTGCGGGGATAACTGGCATATGCTACCGCATCCAGTTTTGTCGGTGCCAAGGGTTGAAGCAAGCCCTCCCCCGATCATGCTATCACCACCCATCCTGGTTTATGTCTATTTTGATTTTCTGGTATACATTGGTTTTGGAAATCAGATTAAACGAGTCCGCGGTTAGTGGCTGTTTAAATACATCTTTTATAAAAGCTAGTGCGTGGGTGCATTGAACAGAGAATCAGTGTTTTAGTCTGCACTTGGCGTTGGCCTTATTGGCATGTGATGTTTTCTTGCATTGTTAATGGTCCAACTGCTGTGTGGCTACCCAGGGCAGTGAACATTCTTATCTCTCTAATGCTCGCTCTTACTGAGTTATCTGTGGGGTTTTATCCGGGCTTTGAGTAGAATGTTGTCACCTACTTTGGTTTTCTGGAACTGACAGGGATTGCCAGTTGGTTGTATGCTCACTCATTCTTTTAACCCCCATGAACTCTAGATTTAACTTCTAAGGTTGTGTTTTTTTTGTCTTTAATTTTCTGTTTCCTTTTTAAGTTAGATAACTTTATGTTTGTTTCCTTCCTTCCTTCTTTCCTTTTTTTTTTTTTCTTTTGAGCCAGGCTTTCTCTGTAGCCCTGGCTGCTCTGTAACTCTCAGAGATCCTCCTGCCTCTGCCCTCCCAAGTGCTGGGTTTAAAGACAAGGGCCACCACCACCCGGCTAGCTTTTCATTTTCTGGGTTCCTCAAATTCTCCATAGTATTTTGGCCTTCTCCAAATGAAGAGGAAAGCTGAGCTGGTCTGTGTATCTGCTGAGCTTTTTGGAAAAATGAGATGATAATAATTACTATTTATTGAACTCTTAAAGTGGGAAGTAGTGATCCTTAATAGTGACAAGCTCTAAACTTGTTTCCTTCTTTTTTCTCCAGATAGCTTGTGTTCACAGGTTATTTGATTTGCAGTTATGTTTTTATTAGAATTTGATGGCTTTACACAGTTTACTGACCTTCCACTACTTGTATTTGTAGGAGCTGACTAAGGCTTTGGAACAGAATTCAGACGATGCACAGTATTACTGTCAGAGAGCTTATTGTCACATTCTTCTTGGGAAATACCGTGGTAATGTTTCTTGCAAACTGTCTTGTTAGTCTGTAGTTTACTTATAAATTCTGCACAAGTTAGAACGTCGAAATGGAGTCTTAGTGGACGTGTCCATGTGTGCCTGTGCTCGCACTTGTGGAGCTTGAGGATAACCTTGGGTGCACTCGGGAATGCTGTCCTGTCTCTTTAAGACAGGATGTCTCGATGGCCTGGAGCTCATCAGGTAGGCTAGACTGCTGGCCAGTGAGCCTCCAGGGATTCTTAAGTGACTACACCTGGAGTCTTCAGTGGGTCCTGGGGATTGCATTTAGGTCTTTGTGTTTGCAAATGAAGGCCTTTCCTGGCTGAGCCATCTCCCCAGCACCATCTTTGAGGATTTTTAACATGGTTTTTTATGGGATACACCTGCTGAGTAACATTGATTTAACAGTTACGGATGTCTTTTCTTTAGTGGACAGAATTTATGAAGATGTCATTCATTGTGGCTGTATTCAGTGATGAATAATGCTTTATTTATTAATACACTATTCGAATCATATTCCTTGTGTTAGCAATTTTTAATAAAAATGAATATATTTCTGGAGTTATATGACTTTAAAATCTTGAGCGTGACTGGGGGCAAGAATTCAATGTTATGTATATTGCTAATGAGAATAGAGGTGAACTTTGGGACATAGCTTTATTTACTGGTGACAGATGAGCTTTTCTTTTTTCTTTTTGGTTTTTCGAGACAGGGTTTCTCTGTAGCTTTGGAGCCTGTCCTGGAACTAGCTCTTGTAGACCAGGCTGGTCTCGAACTCACAAAGATCCGCCTGCCTCTGCCTCCCGAGTGCTGGGATTAAAGGCCTGTGCCACCGCCGCCCGGCGACAAATGAGCTTTTAGGAGAAAAGCTAAAGCGGGCTGGAAAGAGGTCTCAGCAGTTAAAAGAATGGAAACTACTCTTTACAAAGGACCTGAGTTCTGTTCCCAGCACCCATGTTAGGCTGCTCGCAACTGCTGATAACTCCAGCTCCAGCAGGTGGATCTCTGGTCTCCCTGGGATCTGAACTCTGAGGATGGACAGATTGACACACACACAATTTAATACGTTTCTTTTTAAAGAAGGAAGCCAAATATTAGACTACAAGGAAGATATGAAAGTAGTAGTACATTTTATCTTGGATTAGTTTTTTATTATTTAAAGCCATTTGTCTTTCATCAATTTAAGAGGTTAAAATCAAATATTGATATTTGTTTAACATTATTTATTTTATTTGTGTCTGTGTGTGGCAGCTTATGAGTGCCACAGTACACATGTGGAAGGCAGAGGAGAGCTTCGAGTCCATTCTCATCCTGCTGTGTGAGCTCTGGGCATTGGATTTAGGTTGTCCAGTTTGATGACAAGCACAATCTTAACTGCTGAGCCATTGTGTTGACCCTTGTTCACGTTTGTGTGGTGTGTATGCTAGGTCTATAAACACCTAACTAAACAACCTTTCCTTTTCGTATATAGATGGTATTGCTGATGTAAAGAAGTCTCTTGAACTCAATCCTAATAATCCTACTGCTATCCTTAGGAAAGGGTATGTAATTAGCTCCTGGGTTTGGGCTATTGTAGGTATTGATTTATTGAGTAAATTTGTTATAAGCTCTTTATATATGTTGTAGCCACACAACACTAACTTCAGTTAGTATTTTAGCTGAAGTGTAAGATGATGTATGATTTTAATGTGACGATGACTGAAGTAACTGCGGAGTGTGGCTGGAACTGATGGGTGTTCTCTGTCAGAGCTAGATAGCCACATGGAATAATGAACAAAACGTGGTTTGTTTTTAAGCACTGCTTATTTTTACTGATAAGCATGATTTAGTTAACTGAAAACTATTTTGTATGATTGTTCTGAAATGAATAAATTTTAATGAATAAGTTTTAATGAGCATTACACTAGATATTATAGTAGCTAAAAAGACCTTCTGGCATATTAGCATATATTGGAATTCTCTTTCAGCATCTTGAAAGTAAAAGGTGCCTTTATTTAGAAAGAAGGCTGCTGTTGAGCGGTGGTGGCTCTCGCCTTTAATCACAGCACTTGGGAGGCAGAGAGAGGCAGGCGGATCTCTGTGAGTTTGAGGCCAGCCTGGTCTACAGAGTGAGTTCCAGGACAGGCTCCAAAACTATACAGAGAAACTCTGTCTCAAAAAAACAAAACAAGAAAAAAAATATGGCTATTTTTTATAATTTTCTGTGCGTGTATTAATTTGTCTTTCCTGTTCTCATACAGGATGTGTGAGTACCATGAGAAGGACTATGCTTCTGCTCTAGACACTTTTGCAGAAGGACAGAAATTAGATAGTAAGTATTAGAAATGTACATTTTCATAATGAATAACCTTTCTGGATCTTAAATACTGTAACTAAATTGTGTTAAAAATCTTTTTTTTTAAATAGTAGGTTCATACAGTTTTTTATATTTATTTATTTATTATACAATATTCTGTCTGTGTGTATGTCTGCAGGCCAGAAGAGGGCACCAGACCTCACTACAGATGGTTGTGAGCCACCATGTGGTTGCCGGGAATTGAACTCAGGACCTTTGGAAGAGCAGGCAATGCTCTTAACCACTGAGCCATCTCTCCAGCCCCTGTGTTAAAAATCTTACTGTCCCAGAAACCCAATACCCTTTTTCTTCCTTTTAACATTATTTTGTGTTGATTTTAGAATTTGAATTCACATAAAGTTTGATTAAATTGACCTTACTTTAGTGTTTCAATCACAGATCAACTTTGCCATTAGCAACCAAAATTAGGCTATGGTGAGTAGGTTAGCCATTAAAGTGCATAATGTGCAAGCAAGAGGGCTGGAGTTTGGGCTGCTAGAGCCCTTTAAATGCCAGGTTGGGATGGTAGCTTACCTGATTTCAACCTGGGAAGGCAGGAGCAAGTTGGCTATGCAGACAATCCAAATAGCAAGCTCTATGATTGAGAGGACTTACTTCACAGATTAAGAGGAAGAGCAATCGAGAAAGATTGCTGACTTCAGGTCAGACCTCCAAACATGCACATACATGTTCTATACACACATACATGAAAAGAGGGGAAGGAAGGGAAGAAGCCAAAAACTGTATGTAACCATTCAATGTGTTGTAATTGGTTGTTTTTGTTTTGTTTTTGTTATTTATTTTTAATTTTTATGAAATTTTTATTTATTTTACATACCAACCATAGTTTCCTCTCCTCGTCTCCTTTTTCCTTCTCCCACCTCCTTTCTTACCCCTCTTCCCCATCCATTTCTCTGTAAGGCTAAAGCCTCTCATGGGAGTCAACAAAGTATGTCATATCAAGCTGAGGCATGACCAAGCCCCTTCCCCGGCATCAAGGCTGAGCAAGGCATCACACCATAGAGAATAGGTTCCAAAAAGCCACCTCATGCATCAGGGACAGATCCTGGTCCCACTGCTAGGGGACCCACATTCAGAGGGCCTGTGTTGGCCCATGCAGGTTCTCTGGCTGTTGGTCTAGAGTTCGTGAGCTCCCATGAGCTCAGGTCAGATGTCTTCAACTGGACTCCTGGAGCTCAGCCCAGTGCTTGGCTGTTGATATCTGCATCTGCATACTGGATGAAGGTTCTAGGCTGACAGGGTGGTTACTAATCTAATTTCAGGGGGAAGGCCAGTTAGGCACCCTCTCCACTCTTGCTAGGAGTCTTAGCTGGTCTCATCCTTGTGAATTCCTGGGAGTTTTTTCTCCCTAAACCCATAGTAGCCCCCTCAATCACGATATCTCTTTTGTTCTCCCTCTCTGTCGTTCCTCCAATCGACTATCCTTATGTTCCCATCCCCTCTTCTGCCCCCTTCCCCATCCCAGTTTACCCAGGAGATCTCATGGGTCCCTCTTAGGGTTCCCCTTGTTACTTAGTTTCTCTAGGGCTATGGATTATGGCCTGGTATCCTTTATTTTACATCTAATATCCATTTATGAGTGAGTACATACTGTGTTTCTGGGTTGACTCACTCAGGATGATTTCTTTTTCTAGTTCCATCCATTTGCCTGCAAATTTCATTATGTCATTTGTATTTTAACCACTGAATAGTACTCCATTGTGCAAATGTACCACGTTTGCTATTCTTCAGTTGAAGGGCATCTAGGTTGTTTCCAGGTTCTGGCTATTATTACAAAGAATGCTGCTATGAGCATAATTAAGTAGGTATGCTGTGGTGTGATTGAGCATCCTTTGGGTATATGCCCAAGAGAGGTAATGCTGTCTCTTGAGGGAGATTGATTTCCAATTTTCTGAGAAACCATCATACTGATTCCAAAGTGGATGTGCAAGTTTACACTCCCACCAGCAATGGAGTAATGTTCCCCTTACTCCACATCCTCTCCAACATAAGCTGTCTGTCATTAGTGTTTTTGATCTTAGCTATTCTGACAGGTATAAATCTCAAGAGTCATTTTGATTTACATTTCCCTGATGACAAAAGATGATGAACTTAATGACATGAATTAAATGTCTTTTGGCCATTTGAGATTCTTCTGCTGAGAATTCTGTTTAGTTTTGTAATTGGATTATTTGGTGTTTTGATGTCTAGTTTCTTGAGTTCTTTATATATTTTGGAGATCAGTCCGCTGTCAGATGTGGGGTTGGTGAAGATCTTTGCTCATTCTGTATGCTGCCTTTTGTCTTATTGATCATGTCCTTTGCCTTACAGAAGCTTCTCAGTTTTAGGAGGTCCCATTTATTGATTGTTGCTCTCAGTGTCTGTATTACTGGTGTCACATTTAAGATGTAGTTTCCTATGCCATTGCGTTCAAGGTTACTTCCCACTTTCTATTTTGTCAGGTTCAGTGTAACTGAATTTATGTTGAGGTCTTTGATTCACTTGGACTTGAGTTTTGTGCATGGTGATAGATAGGGATCTATTTGAATTCTTCTTCATGTCAACATCCTGTTATGCCAGCACCATTTGTTGAAGATACTTTCTTTTTTTCATTGTACAATTTTGGCTTCTTTGTCAACAATCAGGTGTTTATAGGTGTGTAGGTTAATGTCAGGGTCTTCAATTCAATTCCACTGATTCACCTGTCTGTTTTCATTACTGTAGATCTATAGTAGAGCTTGAAGTCAGGGATGGTGATTTTTGTTCTTTTAAAAATAATATGATGATGCTGTGATGCCCCGGGCGGCTTGCGGAGCAGCTGCTAGTCCGACAAGGATGGCCCTGCAAGATCTCCAGGGTGGGGGCGCCATGCGGCCGGGGGAGTCGGGCGGGCGGTTACGGCGGATAAAAGGCTCACAGGACATAGTATTATTTAAAGAAGAGGGAGACATTTATTGCTTAAAGAAGAAAAGAGAAACAGAGAGAGAACAAAGACACACGACACAAGACAAACACACAAGAGAGAGAGAGAGAAGATGGCGGCGAGGGAGGTCCGAAGTGGCTGGGGTGGGCGTGGTTAGTTCTTAAAGTGACAGCAAAAGAATAACAGTGAGGCCTCCAGAAGTTCCTTTATTGTACAGGATTGTTTTATCTATCCTTCGTTTTTTGTTTTTCCATATGAAGTTGAGTATTTTTCTTCAGTGCTTGTGAAGGATTTTGATGGGGATTGCATTGAATTTGTAGATTGCTTTTGGTAAGATTGATATTTTTACTGTTAGGCTAGACTGCCTGGCCAGTTAGCACCAATGCTGACATTCCAAGCTCACACCACTACACTGTTTTTTTTTTTTTACATGAGTGCTGGATCACATGGAGGTCCTTCTGCTTTACCTACTGAGTAATCTCTCCCAGATCCTTACTGTGTCTTCTGCTGGAAAAGTGAAAATATAATTTATAATTTACTTTCTTATGTTAATGGGACTGGAGATGGCTCAGGTTAAGAGCACTGGGTGCTCTTCCAGGGAATTCAGGTTTGATTCCCAGCAACCACATGGTAGCTCACAATTGCCTGTAACCTCAGTTCCATGGAATTTTATACCCTCTTCTGGCCTGTTAGACCACCAGACACAAATAGTGTGTACAAACATACATGTACAAAGAGCACTCACCTGCATAAAGTATTAAAATAAAAGAGATTAGAATATCTGTTCATTTTAAGTTACTCAGATTGCTAAAAGAAGTTTTACAGCAGAGTCTTTATGTAGAAGTAAAGGGTTAAGTCTGAATCCCATGTGATATATAGAAGAAATGGGAACTTTCTGTTTAAGACAGTGTCATGTATCTTAGACTGACATCATTATGGAGCCGAGGATGACCTTGACCTGAGACCTTCCTGCCATTACTCTGGAGTGCTAGGTTTACTAACAGGTACCACTGAGCCCAGTTTATGTGGTACTGGTGAGCAAACCCAGGGCTTCCTGCTGACATACACAGCTATATTCTCAGGGAAAATAGTTTGAAAGTATTATGATTTTCACAAATGATTTTGGGGAATATGTATGAACACAATACCAGGGTCTAGTTACATAGAGAAATTGAATGCTAGAAATGTAGATTTTATAACTAATCTTGTAGAAAACTATAGGAAACTTCATAATCCAAATTGTATTTTTTTTTTCCTGTAGTAGAGTGTTATCACAGTTCTTTAAAACAAAAATGTTCTTAACTGGAAACAGTAATTTTCAAGTGGACTTTTGTCAATGGCTGGAAAGAGTTTTGATAGTTGTAGCTAGTGGAAGGGACCCCTGAAGATCTGTGAGTAGTGTCCTCTAGTGCACATGAATGTTTCCACGAAAAGTGTCTGATCCAGAATGTCAGGACTGATGGAATGGACAGACCTGCTCCTGAAGTGCTAATGCTTTCACGTTTCCTCTGCAGTATCGCTGCCCTTCTGCTGCACGGTCGCTCAGAGGAAAGGACTTTAGGCTCCAGTGTGCAAATAGAGGCAATGACTTAGGGAGGTAGAACTTTGGGAATAGTAATGCTTCAATTTGTTTACCCTGGTTTGGCCACATGGATTCTATAGCTGCTCATTTAAGAAGTCAGAATAATTACTCTTTGCAAATCTAAAGAATTTAGTTTTATAATTCTGTGAGGTCAGGCATTCTATATTCTGTATTCTTTGCTTTATCCATTCTTCCCCCTTGCATGGGAAGAGGCTTTTACTGGTTGTGTGAATAATGGTTTTTTTTTAATTTAATTTTATTTTATGTGCATTGGTGTTTTGTCCACATTCATGTCAGTGTCAGGCTGTGAAATCCCCTGTAATTGTAGTAACAGGAAGTTGTGAGCTTCCATATGGGTGCTGGGAATTGAACCCAAGTCCTCTGGAAGAGCAGCCAGTGCTCTTAACCACTGAGCCATCTCTCCAGTTCCAAATAATAGGTTATTTAAGACTAGTGTTTATAGAAGAATATAGTACATGTGTGCCTAACTAACATTTTGATAAGGCATGAATAGTTCAATTCCTTTTGTAAGTCAGGCAATTTTAAAACGCAGTGCATGCCATTAATCTCAGTACTCGGAAGGCAGAGGCAGGCATATCTCTTTGAGTTCCAGGTCAGCCTGTCTACAGTGCTAGTTCCGGGACAGCCAGGGTTACATAGAGAAACCCTGTATCGAAAAAGTAAACACAAGTTGTGTTTTCAGATTAGTTAGTAAACTTTTGCTTTGATCACCTAATATTTAGCACCTTTTACTAGGCATAGCAGCTATTTAAATATTGTTCTAGATCTTCAGAGGTAAATATTTTTTTATTTCATTCACATTTCTGCTCTCTATAAATATATAGTTCACTATGTATGTTTAGTTTCTTGGCTACTGTGTAACTTGGAAATGTGACTGTTTCATAATATATGAAGTATTGAGGACAGAATCACAGAGGAAATGACAGGTAGTTGGTAGCTGCATTGTAGAGCAGGATGAATGAGGAGAACTGATTTGGAACTCTCAAGCCTCCTTTGCCCTGTGAGAGAGAGATTTCCTTTAAGATCAGGGTAGATGCAGGAAATGTAGATTACTGAGAAACTGGAGAGAGTGACTGGTTAAAACTAGATGAAGAGCTCAGTGGTAAGCCCGTGGTTACATTAGAGCTTTATCACTATGGCTGCTGACCGCTCAGTTCCCGGTTCCTGCACTACTTTGGACATGGTAGGCAGCTAGAATGAATGTGTTACATTGCTCACATCAGCGATTTTACACTCAGGGTTTTTTGTTTGTTTGTTTGCTTGTTTGTTCCAGGTACAGATGCAAACTTTGCCATCTGGATTAAAAGGTGCCAGGAGACTCAGAATGGTAAGTATGGGTAGGTTTTTGTTTTAAAATAAACATTTCAAGTTTTTTTTTTTTTGGTTTAAATATTTTATTTTTAATCTTCCTTTCTTGGTTCTGGGGATCAAACCCATGGCCGTGTACATGCTGGTCAGGTGGTTGTTCTACCGCTAAGTTACCCCCCAGCCCAATAATAGACTGTTTCTGGTTGACGCTCTTTTTCTTCTTAAGTCAGAAGGAAAATTTGATGGTTTTACTTGGCCAAAGTATTATGTTACTACCAGTAATAGATAATGAAGGAATCTAAAGTAATTTCTGGATGCAAAATGGAAACAATTTGATTCAAAGGTAGCAATTTGCTACATTTGAAATATATAAAGAGAAATAAGTTTCTTGATTGATGTGTTTGCTGTAAAAATAATGTCTATGTCTTTGCCTACAAACTTACTGTTACCTAAAAATGCTTCCTTTTTTATGTTTTTTAGGATCAGAATCTGAAGTGGTAAGTCCACTCATCTTTCATGTTTTACTTATTCTTTAAACTTAATCAAATATTTTTAAGCCAGGGTTTGGGGTGAGCTCTTATTAAACAATTCAATTTAAATTTTAGTTATCTGAAATAATTCATTTTGTTGAAGTAAAAACTGTAAATTTATAATCACGTAAAATACTGTGTTGTCTTAATGAAGTTAGGGTATAATATAAGCTAATTGGTTTTTTGTGTGATCAGGATGCTTGTTTCCTATCGTTTCCTTACCAGTATCAACAACTTACTAGGTTAAGTAGTTGTCATCATCATTAAGGAGCTCACAGACACTTGTAGCTCTAGTTTCAGAGTATTTGATGCCCTCTGGCTTCCTAGTACACTTGTTCACATGCGATGAACAGACACTTATGCAGGCATGCATACACAGAAGCAAAAATGAATAATAAATCTTTTTTAAAAATTACAGTGTCATTGTAATTAAAAAGTAACAAATATTTGAATTTAATTTTTAGAAATTTCTCTTATGTGTATTAGTGTTTTGCCCGTGTGTATGTCTGTGCACCACGTATATGTGTGTTATGTGTGTAAGTCAGAATATTCCTGGAACTGAAGTTGGCAGATTGTGTCGAGCTGCCATTGGGTGCTGGAAATTGACTCTGAGTCCCCTGGAAGAGCAGTCAGTGCTTTTGACTGCTGAGCCATCTCTCTAAGCCCCATGGTCCACTTCGTTTCTCATCAATTTAGACTTTCATATAGTGCAGTTAGATTATGGCATCCTGTTTCCGTAGTCGGCACATACATAATCAAGAAGGAAAATCGCAAGAGTTGGGCAATGTGTGTATAACTCATTTTATGGATAATTACTTTTTTGAGATGCTCATCCGTCTTTTAAGAAAGATTTCCATCTCAAGTTTCCAAAATTGCATTGAGATTGAGAAAACCACTTATTCTGAGAGATTTATATATAAACTGTGTCTAATAGAGCTAATCTTCTTCCAGCAGGTTTCCTGGGAGCATTAGGCAATGCATGTGTACCAGTAAAGTTTAGAACAGTTTCCAAAACTGAAGCCCTGTTCAAACATCTCTCTATACCCATCTTTGCCCCTTAATCCTAGGTGCCTGGGTGGTGATTAAGGAACTGATTGGAGCGGTCTTGACAGGCTGGCTTCCTAATTCACCTGCCAGTAGTGTTCAGGCCTTAGTTTAGGTTTGTGTGTAGGCCAGGCTCCTGCAATGGCTGAACTGAGAAAAGCGACTTGAGGGGGAAAAGGTTTATTTTGGCACAGTGTTAACATCTGGTTAGGGGGATAGTCATAGCTGCTTACAGCAGGGTGATCAGGAAGCAGAGAAAAAGGGAGCAGAGGGTACCCAATACAACCTTCAAAAAATTCATCTCTAGTGACTTTCCTCCAGCCAGGCCCTGCTCCCCCAGTGGTACCATCCAATACATGTAACTTTTGGGATCTGAAGATACGTTGTGTCTAAACTGTTCAGCCTGTGAATAACAGAATGATACTCACATAACAAATTCTCATTGGTCCAATAATAAAGGGTTCATAGCTTTAGTGTGTTCTGCCATGATGTGGTTTGGGGTGTGTATGTGTCTGTAGTTTATTAAATGTATGTGTATATGCACCGCATGTGTACCTAATACCCTTGGATGCCAGAAGTGGGCATTGGCTCTCTTGATACTGGAGTTGCAGGTGGTTGTGGGCTGTCAGTTGGGGCTACAAACTGGGTCTTCTGGAGAGCAGCCGGTACTCTTTTAACTGCTGAGCCATCTCTTCTGCCCCGATTTAGTCTGCGTTTGTCCTGGTTCCAGGCTAAATAGTAATTGTTCTAGTTAGTGTTTGCACCTGTTTTCTGTGCGCTGCCTGGAATGCCGAGTTGGCGTCATACCTCTTGAATTGCTTGACTTACTTCTTTGGTTGCTTCTCTTCTCATTTCGGGACAATTCAGAGGTCTCCCATGACCCCAGGCATCATCTTTACTTTACATAGCCTTAACTATTGAGCATATAGTTTATTAGTGGTATGGATTGGATAATTCTCATTTCGATGGCTGGGAGTGGAGGCAGGAGGATCAGGAAAGAGATCAGCCAGCCTAGTCTATGAATGAGACTTGCCTGAAGTGAGAGGAATTATTTCTAATGGTCTGGGTATTGCAGAGATATCCTAAATAGAGTAAAATATTCTTCTGAAGCTAACCATTGAGATGGTCCTTTACTGTTTCTAGAGCGTCATTTGATTTTGTAATTAAGGCTGAAGTTATATGGTCTCTTAAAAATGATTTATCTTTCTTGAGATGAAGTCTTCATTAGCCTGTGCTGGTTTTGAACTTGTTTTGTCACTGGGGATGACCTTGATCTCCTGCTTCTCCCGTCCCTTTCTCCCAGGTGCTGGGATTACAGGTGTGTGCTGCTACCACATCAGGCTAAAAATGGTCTTCAAAATGCTAGCCTGCTCAGTTTTGAGTTCTGTATCTTATGACTGGAAATACTACACAAATGCAGTTTTCCCAGTCATTCTTGTAGAAAGTTTTTACTGTTTGTTGTGGCAGGATCTCACTGCATGAGGCAGGCCATCCAAGCACCCTGCCAAGATCACACACTGTACTTTTTCCATATTAAAGAGCCACTGGGCTATGTGAATTAATAATGTATGAATTTTTAGTATAATTGCTAAACTAATGTGTAAAATCTTTCTCTTTCACCTTGTCAAAATCAGTCTGCATCTCAGAGAACTCAGTCAAAAATCAAGTAAGTATTTTTTTTTTTAAATAAAACAGTACCTGGTAATGTGCTTAAAGAGAAAAAAACTCAGTCTCCACAGAAGGCAGAGTCACACTGTGTCATTTTAAATGTTTTTTAATTGTTAATGTCTGTATGAAGAATTGTATTTTAAGGTTGTCTACTAATTAGTATTAACATTTAAATAAATTCAAATAACTCTCATCTCTAAACTTGCTTGCATATTATGTTGCCTTTCTCTGTATTAGGAGAGCTATTTCCAGTTAAGTTGATACTGTTAAATATGTAAAGAAGTGGTAGGCTACCCAGAATTGTAATTTGCTATCAAATGCCTGTGTGTGTGTGTGTGTGTGTGTGTGTGCGCGCGCGCGCGCTTATGTGAGAGAGGTGCTGGAGATTGAACTAATAAAGGCTTCATGCATTCTAGGCAAGCACCATGTAGGTGAGTTGTTGTTTACACTATAAGAGGCAGGACAAATATAAGGCTCTTGTCCTCTTACTTGGGTAAGTTTTTCATAGGAATGTTCTACCTGAGTTCAAAGTTAGTTCTGCAGTCACAATGGTGAGTAGCAAGACTTTGACTTTGGCTTAGTAAAGAGCTTGCCCTGCAAGCTTGAGCACTTGCATTTGGATCCCCGTCACCTACATAGAAACACAACAACAAACAAACAAAAAGACTGGTCATGGCAGCATACGTCTGTAGTCCTAGTGCTGGGTAGATGGAGACAGGATGATCCCTGGAGCTCACTGGCCAGCCAGCTTGCCTAGCTATTTAGTGAGCTCCAGGTTCAGTGAGAAACCCGTTTCATAAAATAAGGTAGGAAATAATTGAGGAAGTCACCCAACCACTGGCAACACACACGTACACTTGTACACTCAGCCACATGCGTACATGCATTCAACATAATAAATTATTCGCTAGTCACATAACAACTTGTACTTAATTTTTTGTTGGGAAAGTATTTTTATTAATTAATTATTTTTTACATACTGACTGCAGTTTCACCTCCCTCCTCTTCCCTCAGCCCTCCCATCCCACACCCCCCACCACCTTCCCTCTGCTTCTTCATGCCCACCCACCCACTCCTCCCATGGATATCAACCACATGTGACATATTTAGCTGCAATATGACTAGGTGCCTCCACTTAGTCATATTAAGGCTGAGGAGGCAACCCAACATGAGGAAAGGGGTCCTAAAAGCTGGCAAAAGAGTCAGACAGCCCTGCTCCCGTGTTAGGAGTCCCACAAGAAGACCAAGTTCCCCAACTGTCACATATATGCAGAGGGCCTTTGTCAGCCTCATGCAGGTTCAGTCTCTGTGAGCCAGCCCTGGTTAAATAACTTGTATTCCTTTTCCCCCCACTTATTTTTTTTTATTTTTTTTATTTATTTTTTTTTTTAGATTTATTTATTTATTATGTATACAACATTCTGCGTTCGTGTATGCCCACACGCCAGAGGAGGGCGCCAGATCTCACTACAGATGGTTGAGAGCCACCATGTGGTTGCTGGGAATTGAACTCATGACCTCTGGAAGAGCTGCCAGTGCTCTTAACCTCTGAGCCATCTCTCCAGCCCTTATTTTTTTTTTTTAAAAGACAACAAACCCTCTTTTTACTTTGCATACCAATCCCACTTCCTGCTCTTGTATTCTTAAGACGCTAACAGGAACACGTGATGGTTTGCTGTAGAGCTTTGCACCATCACTGAGTTGTGAGGTGTCTGTGTGCTGGGACCCTTGAAGTTCATTTCTTGAATCAAGATGCTTTATTTTAATCTGAGTAGCTGATGTGGCAGTTCCAAACCAGTTATAAGTCTACTGTGAGGCAGGCCCTTTCCCCTGTTCTTAGAAATATGAGAGTGCAGGATAAACAGTTTTGCCCTCTGGGAGATGAAAGTCTAGTCTGGTTCAAAAGTGTGAACATCCACATTTCCAGAGCTTTTGCTATGGGAGGACACACTGGTCTTCCCTCAAACCTTGAGTTAAAGAAAAAGGTGTATAATTTGATGGCACTATGGGGGAATCTGTGTATTTTGTACTCATTTCTTTCTCCTCCTTGTATTTGCTCCCATCTTCAGTGAACAGATCTTAGAGTATTGACCCAGGTTGACCTGTGACCGCTGTATCAATGCTGCTGATTGCTTCATTTTCATGAGCTAGCATTCTTAATCTGTTTTTTTAAGTTAGTTAGCATTAGGTGGAAATGACAGTACAGGCAGCTGTTAGAATTTCAGTATTAGGAAATGAGAGGTTTGTGCCAGCCTGTCTTCCGCCTCCCTCTCTTCCTGAAGTTGTTTACAGCTGCTTTGCTATTGTCTTCCTCAAGGTGGAGCTCTTGTTACTTATTAGTCTATTAATTTGACAAACAGCTTTAAGAAAACCAGAAATTATATGAATATGTTCCTTTAAATAGGTATGACTGGTATCAAACGGAATCTCAAGTAATCATTACACTTATGATCAAGAATATTCAGAAGAATGATGTAAATGTGGAATTTTCAGAAAAAGAGGTAATTAGTCTTTGAACTATATAGAGGGTAAATACTATATATAAGTTTAGTGTTTTACAGAACAGTTTTACCAGTTTATTAGATATATTCCATTTCTTCTTGAGATAATATGAGAAATGTTAAATAAAGTTGGAAGCTGCTTCTCTGTGTAACAGCTCTAGCTAACTGGGAACTCATTTGTAGACCAGACTGGCCTGGAACTCACGGAGATCCACCTGCCTCTGCCTACCAAGTGCTGGGATTAAAAGTGTGGGTTACCACTGCCCAGCTCATTTGAAATTTTTTAAAATTTTAACTATGTAGACATAGCTTGTCTGGAATCTGTTGTAATCCTCCTGCCTCTGACACTAAAGTTTATGTTATTGTGCACTTAGTACATGGTGAATTTATACCACTATCGCTGGCTTCTGTGTGCATTCTCTGCTAGATTTGCAGGGTAAAGCAGAATTGGGTCGACATAATTAAGATCCATACTTTGGTTAAATTTACTGGTATATGTTACTTTAAAAAGGTTTAATTTATCACCAGCACCCACCCACCCATCCATCACCATCACACAAAAAAGTTTAGTTGTATGGGGTTTGTACATGTCTTAAAATTATTAGCTATATTAAATGAATATGATTTAATAACTTTCCTTTCTCGTGATAGATATTTAAGAGCAGTAGTGTGGTAGAAGTAACAGTTTGCACAGGCATGCAAAATTTTAAATACTGTATGTTATATTACTTTGTTATGTAGTATGTTTTCGTGATTTAAATGTTGGGTAATTAGATCTGTAATTAATACTATGTAATCTTTTCTGCCATTTGGTTCTGTATATGAGAATACAAATGAAAGATGCCATGTGGACAAAAAAACAACACTTTGAAGTACCTAAATCTGACATTCCAGACACCTTAGTGGGCAAAGGCTGCTCTTAGCAAGTCTGACAATCTGAGTTTGATCCTGGTGATCCACATGGTGGAAGGCGAAGGTAGACTCCTGAAACTTGTCACCTGACCTCTGCAGTCATGATTTGGCACGTATAGAAGGGTACACACAAAAAAACAAGCTCATGCACACTAAAGAAAAAAATCTTTCTGTGTGAAACACTTAATCTGTAACATTGCTGAAATTTATATTTATATTAAATACATAACCTTTTGTGTACATTTACAAAGTGTGATGCCAACTTTGTTTTCATTAGTTATCTGCGTTGGTGAAACTCCCCTCTGGAGAAGACTACAATTTGAAGCTGAGGTTGCTTCACCCTATAGTACCGGAGCAGAGCACATTTAAAGTGCTTTCAACAAAGGTAAGCAAGTTGGAAACTGTAACCTAAAATAGTAGTGTCTGCAGTAGGCTTGTAGTCCCGACTCCCAGTGTGTTAGAGGTCAAACCCAGGGCTTTGTGTGTGCTCGGCAAGTACTCTCCCACAAGTCTACATCGTGAACCTTGTAGCTCCTTTTAAGACACACATTAAGTTAAAAGGGATAAGTAAATAAGAACAAAGATTTTTTTAATTACATTTTTCTATTGCTCTTCACCTTATTTTTTATAATAGGGTCTATGACTATACTGCAGCTCCCTTGGTTTTATTTAGCTTGGCAGACCAGTGAGCCTCCAGAATCTGCCTGTTTCTGCCCTAAGACTAAGGGCAAACGACACAGTAGCATTGTCTGTGTCTGATGGGAATCTAAGCTTGTGCCCTCATGCATGCAGAACAAACACCTTAAAATTTTATTTAAAAAATCGTGTAAGTGTGTGTATTTGTGTTGGGGTGCATGCATTTGAGTGTATTTGTGTTGGGGTGCATACACATGAGTGCAGGTGCCTAAAGAGACCAGAGGCATTGGATCCCCTTGGAACTGGAGTTATTGTGAGCCGCCTAGTGTGGGCGCTGGGACGTTCTGCAAGAACAATTTATACTTATTGCCACTGAACCATCTCTCCACTCTAACCAGCCTCTTAAGATTTGCTACTTATATGTTTGTCAGTGTGCTCTGTTTTGATGTAAACACATTCAGTCTCATACAGTTTATAACAGTGCTGTAAGGATGAATCTGCAGTTTTTAAATTTTTTTGTTTTTTAAAAAATTTATTTATTTATTATTTATAAAGTGTTCTGTCTGCATACAGAACCAGGTTGGATTACAGATGGTTGTGAGCCACCATATCGTTGCTGGGAACTGAACTCAGGACCTCTGGAAGAGCAGCCAGTGCTCTTAACCTCCGAGCCGTCTTTCCAGCCCCTTAAATTTTATTAAGCTGAATTTAGGTTATCTTATTAAGTGAAAATGATGAATATATTTGAATTATAATTTGATTATATAGTTTAAATTCCTGGTCATTTTAAAAAGTAAGATTACACAATGAAATTAGTTTTTAGACTATTATATATTTCAAAGAGGAGTGTAGTAGTGTAACTTAGTAGAGAATGTAAAATTGAAAATAAAAATTGCAGGGTATGGTAGTACATACCTGTAATCCCAACATCCAGGAGGCTAGGGTGAGAGGATTGATGTGAGTTTAAGGCAAGCCTGGGCTACAGAGTGATTTTCAGATCTGCATGGGTTAGGTAGAGTGAGACCCTCACTTAAAAAACAGAAAAGAAAAAGAAGAAAAATACAATAAAATGTGTGACTTGTGTGATCCAAAAGGAAGGGAAATATTTGTCCTTCAAGAAACATTTGGTGCTGGATGGTGGTGACGCACGCATTTAATCCCAGCATTCGGAGGTAGAAGCAGGTGAGTCTCTGTGAGTTCAAGGTCAGTCTCCTCTACAAGAGCTAGTTCCAGGACAGGCTCCAAAGCTACAGAGAAATCCTATCTCAAAAAACCAAAAGAAAAAAGAAAAAAAAAAGAAGAAAGAAACATCTTGCTTATCAGAAACAAAGTTGATGAATCGCGAGGCTGCTACATGACAGAGTGCGCTGTGGGACAACACCAAGAGGAGGGTTGGCCAGTATTTCTACTGCTGCCACCCACATAGAGTTAAATTTGTTCAATAATAGAACTTTGAGTTGTCAGTCACAAAACTGGGGAGATTATGAGAGGCAGGTGAGGAGATGATGAGTTTGCATTGTGTATTTATTAATCATATTTTAGTTGTTTTGGTTTTTAAGTCCAAGACTGAATTCAAAGTGTCGTTCTCCTGCCGTGGCCTGAAATTCAAGTATTGTTCTTTGTTGTTGTGCCCCCCGCTTTTCTAGGCATTGAATATAGCGCCTTGTTTAAACTCACAAACACTATACTTAGGTCTATTCCCAGCCCATGAGATTCTTACTGCATGTCTATTTGACGTAATTTGAGTAAGAATGAAGAGACGAATGACTTAAGAACTTGTATTTCACATATTTGACTTATAAATGCAGCTTGTGTTTCAGGTAAACTATTTTTTTAGTATGAGTATGCTCCCTCTATTTGCTGAATTTGGTAGTTCCCTTATTACATAGTGATCAGTGACACTTGTGTGATGGAAGAATCTGCATTGGAGTCAGATGTAAACCTTGTGGAGTTGATTCAGTAAATGTTTCAGTCTTAGTTTTACAGAGAAAGAAAACGAGCTCGTGGACTTCAGACACTTTCCCCAAATCTACACTAAATGGTTGTTTGCTGTCACGGTGGTGTATGTATCTTTACATGCCTGTATCTTTACAGAAATAAACTGAAATTTTTGATCATTTCCCTTTTCGAACAGCAGAGGGAGGCAGTGCGCTAGGAACATGGTTCAGTGAGTAAAGAGCTTGCCACACAAATGTGAGGCCCAGATTTCTAGAACCTACATAAAATCAGGTGGGTGTGGTGGCTGCCTGTGATTCTCAGCATCCAGGAGATGGAGGTAGGGAATCCCCAGAGCAAAATGTCATAGTAGCTAAAATGCTGTGCTTTGAGTTCAGTGGGAGACCCCACCTCCAAATAAAAGGTGGAAAGTGATAGAAAAGACACTTGATGTTATCTTTGCGCATGCGTGCGTGCACACTCATACACGCACACACACACGGCATGCAAATATAAAATGTGGATAATAATCTTAGGTGGTTCTGTTAAGTAAGTTGGTGTATGTAAAGCACTAAACACGTAGTGAGTACTAAATAAATGGTATTTACTCTCAACAGTGCCCTGTTGAGGTTAGTAGATGCCTGTTTATGTCTCCTCAGGAAGAGTCTAGTCTGTCAGGAGATGAGGATGTAAGGAGTAAGGCCAACCTTGATTAGAGAAGAGGGCAACCAGTACTCTTAGCCTCTGTGCCTGTGTGCGGTACCCAGCACCCCTACCAGGCTGCTCAGAACTTGTTGTAACCTTAGCTCTGGAGAACCAGGCTCTCTTTTTCTGTCCTGCAGGCACTGCACACACACATGGTTGTGCATGCACACACAAAGCTAAGAAATAAAAGTAATTTTTTTTAAATGTATGCACCCTAAAGGTATTTTATATTATATAGAATGATCCTCAAGCTGTGTGTCTGAAATTATTATCTGAACATAAATGAATCTGTTTTAGCTTTTGCCCTAACCCCAGACATTATTTAAAAGCAAAAACTATTTTTTTAAAAAAGTCTAAAATCTGAACCTTTTCTTGTCCCAACCATAGGAGATTATACAATTGCTATACAATTGTATAATTGTTGTATAATAATACAATTGGTTTTATTAATTTATACAATGGCATAAGTTCCTCTGAAGCAAATGAACCAGATGTGTGTGTTAATGTAGAGTTGAGAGCTGGGTGATCTCAGAGGTCATTGCTGACATTTGCTCTGTGAGAATCTATTGCAAGGGGTTGTTAGAATTCCTGAGTTTATTCTCATTAGGTGTCTGTGTCTTTTCCATTTACCAACCTTAGAGCAAAGATCAGTGTCTCTTGCTATCGTCAAATGTGCCTTGAATGGCAGAATCATTCCTCTTTACTTCTTTTGTAGAAGAATAATAAAGCATTTAGACTTCAAGACCCTTCCAAAAAATCTATTTAGAGAGAGCAAGCACATTGTATACACATGCATATGGAGGTCAGAGGACAACCTTGGAAATCATTCTCTCCTCATGTATGTGGATTCCATGGACTATCAGGCTTAGCAGCAAACACCTTTACCCACTGGGTCCTCTCATTGACATGAATTTCAAGACTTAATTGTAGCTTATATGATATGTGTGCTGTGTTTTGAAGGGTAAAATGTTAAGAGTAGAAACAAAATAAATGTTTCATAATTCTTCTGATTTAACTTTGTATAATTTAGGTAAACTGTCAAAGACACTATTAATTCTTATGAAAGTTTGATGACTTAAGAAAATTGCATTTTTACTCTTTTATGTATGTTACATTGAGTAATGGGTTTTATTTGTGTTTCCTTCAGATTGAAATTAAAATGAAAAAGCCAGAGGCTGTGAGATGGGAAAAGCTGGAGGGGCACGGGGATGAGCCTACAACAAAGCAGTTCACAGCAGGTTTGTGTTTTCCTGTTGCTGAGGCTTAAGTGCATTGTGTAGTTGAAATTAAATAATAATGAACATTCTCCCTACTTGTTTATTTATGAAAAAAGTTATTCTAATTTCTGAAGCTTGAACACAAACAAGTGGTGTCAAAGCCCCAGAAGACTTGGTGTTGTTCACTGTTAGTCTGTGACTCTGTGGGCAGCCTACCACACGGGGAGGTAGTCTGCTACAGAGTATCTCTTCCTTCCCTATTCCGCCTTTATTCCTTTCTGTTTTCTCCAACTGATTTCTCACCTTTGATTTCGTAGATTTTCAGAACTTCACAGAGCAGGACATTTGGACCATTTCTGTTGCAAATACAGAGATGGACACAAACCAGTCAAGGAATGCCTAGAGAAGACAACTCGGGTTGATTTTGAATTGCCCTTATGTGTAGAAGTCTGTTCTAAGCATATATAACCAGCAGATAAGCATCTTTAACTAGGAGAATAATTAATCTGGGGAACCCTCTTAGAACTTCAGCCTAAGATTGTATCTTAGTCTAATTGCCTCATTACTGAATAGGGAGATATTTCTTTTTGTTTAATTTTGTTTCTTTTTAATACTCTGATCTGATGGCCGAAATAAGCCAACAATGCGTCTCAGCTATTTTCATATTTTTACCCCTTTTATAGTAGAAAACACATTAGCTTGTAACAGCTTTTAGGAGATCAGTTATTAACAGATCCCATGTACATGAATGTGTGTCTCTGTGTGTGTGTGTGTGTGTGTGTGTGTGTGGGTGAATTAATTACATGTGTGTATAGAAGTTGCAAGAATAAAAGTGTTTCTTCCCCCTCAGTGATAGACTTTTAACTAATCAGTAGCAAAGATAGTAAAACCAGGAGAGACAGTGGCAGATGATTTCTTGTTGCTACTTCAAAGGCCGTCTGGTCTCTTGGGATTGACTTCCAGATGTCTGGGACCAAGGTTTATATAGTGAACAACTGTGTAATAAACACAGCACTCACATAATAGGCACCCAGTGTTATTTCTTTCATTTTATAGGCTTGGATCATCTAGGATTTGTGGAGCACTAAGATGCAGGGCTTCAGAGTATGGGTGTGGTAACTGTTGCTACTTCCCATGGGACACGTTCACCAACAGTGGAGATGATCTCTGCTGTCACAGTTGTCTAATAAAGTAGTGAACAAGGAACTTCGATTACGCACAGTTCACACACCATCTCTAATTATTCAAGTTGTTCTGAGATTAAATATCATGTATGAGTGTGTGTGTAAGATTTTTCTAAATGTAATCCCTTAGAAATTCACGATGCTTTCCCTTCTGTCCTGTGTGTTTTGTGAGAAATTAATATGCTTGTCAGATCCCGTGTACTGCAAGCTGGAAACTGTAGATAAGGGCAAGTCACTTAACCTAACTGGGCCAGCGTTCTTATCTGTAGAGTAGAGATTAAAACTTCATTCCTATTCTTCCTGGGAGTCAGCATTAGAATTAATTAAATCCATGTTCCCGGCTCCTTAACTGTGTTATATGGTTCTTTGTTTTCTTTGGCTACCAGTGAAATGTGCAGAAACAGCATTTCCAGTAGAGGGAAGCAACATTTAGAATGTTTAAATATATGTTTTAAACATATATGATGTTTAAAGCAATACAGTCACACACACACCCTGAGTGAAACTATACCATGTCTCCCTAGGATTTGTTTTGGTGAAGGATGGGTAAATAAGCTGTGCTTATTTATTATTTACTGGTGAGATGAAGGCACAGGAAACAGAATGAATGTTTGTTTAGTAGTTTCTCAATTGTTTTTTTAGGAAAGGGCTGTAGAAAGACATCGCTGGAGAAGAAACATTTAGATTAGTGTCACTGCAGTGTGACATGGAAACTTGGAATAAGCCTCTTTTTTTTTTTTACTTTAAATTTTACTCATTTTATATACCAGTTCCTGCTGCCCCCCACTTCCCCCTCCGTTCCTTTATCCCGCTTCTTCCCTCCTCCCCCTCTGTCCCCTCCTTGTTGCACCCCTCCTTTCCATACCATCCAGTCCTCAGAGTGAGTAAGGCCTCCCATGGGGAGTCAACAAAGCCTGACACACCAAGTTGAGGCAGGACCAAGCCCTCTTCCCCCCATCAAGGCTGAGCAAGGCATCCCACCATAGGGAATGGGCTCCAAAAAGTCAGTTCATGCACCAGGGATAAATCCTGGTCCCTCAAACAGACCAGGCTACAACACTGTTGCTCACATTTGTCATTCAGAGGGCCTAACTCGGTCCCATGCAGGTTTCCCGGCTGTCCAGAGTCCTTTAACTCTCTTTAGCTGTCTCTGAGGGTTTCCCCATCATGATCTTGGCACCCCCCATCCCCGCCTTACTCTTCAACTGGACTCCAGGAGTTTGGCCCAGTGCTTGACTGTGGATGGATGAAGGTTCTATGGTGACGATTAGGGTGTCACCAGTCTGATGACAGGGAGGCCGGTTCAGCCCCCTCTCCACGTTGCTAGGAGTCTCAGCTGGGGTCATCCTTGTAAATTTCTGGGAGTTTCCATGGTACCAGTTTTGTCCCTGATCCCACAATGGCCTCTCTCAAGGTATCTCTTTCATTGCTTTCCCTGTCTGTCCTTCCCCCAGCTCAGCCATCCCGATCCCTCATGTTCCCTCATCCCCTCCTCTCAGCGCCCACCTCCTCGCCCCGTGCTCCCAAGTTTACCCAGGAGATCTCATCTATTTTCCCTTCCCAGGGTGATCTTTGTGTCCCTCTTAGGGTCTTCCTTGTTACTTAGCTTCTCTGGACCTGTGGATTGCTTTTGGTAAGATTGCTTATTTTCTATGTTAATTCTACCTACCCAAGGGCATGGTAGATCTTTCCATTTTCTGTTATCTACTTCAGTTTCTTTCTTCAAAGACTTAAAGTTCTTGTCATCCAGGCCTTTCACTTGTTTGTTTAGAGTTAGCCCAAGATATTTTATACTATTTCTGGTTATTGTAAAGGGTGATGTTTCTTATGAACACTGATGCAAATACTCAATAAAATACTGACAAACTGAATCCAAGAACACATCATAAAATCATCCACCATGATCAAGTAGGCTTCATCAAAGAAATGCAGGGCTGGTTCAACATAGGAAAATTTGTCAGTGTAAACCACTATATAAACATACTGGAAGAAAAAAACCATGATCATCTCATTAAATGCTGAAAAGCTTCATGAGAGATCAGGGGTACAAGGAACATTATATAAACATAATAAAGGCAATATAAAACAAGCCTACAGCTAACAGCAGAATAAATGAAGAGAAACTCAAAGCAGTTCTATTAAAATTAGGAGCAAGACAAGGCTGTTCACTCTCCATATTTGTTCAGTATTGCACTTAAAGTTCTAGCTAGAGCAATAAGATAACTAAAGGAGATCAAGGGGATACAAATTGAAAAGGAAGAAGTTGCTATTTGTAGATGATACGATAATATACATAAGTGAGCCCAGAAATTCTTCCAGGAAACTCTTGCACATGAAAAACCTTTAACAGTGTGACAGGATATAAGATTAACTCAAATATCAGTAGCTTTCCTATATACAAATGATAAATGGGCTGGGAAAGAAATCAGAAACATCATCTTCCTCTCTTGTTTTTAAGAACTGTAAGCTGTATTAGCCCCTATAGTTGCTGTTTATTGACTACTTGAAGTAGGATTAGTCTGCATTGAGGTGTAAAATCCTTACCCAGATTTTACGATTTTTATATAAAAGGATCATAATGTATTTTCCAGTTGACTTCATGTTGAGATACTATTCTTTCTTGCTATGTTAAGTTAATATATATATTTAAGCTATATATATACATACATATAAATGTGTATTTGTATGTATGTATATGTATGTGTATACACACACACACACACACACACACACACATATATATGTTCTTGTCACTTATTTTTCATTGTCCTTCAGAAAACTAAGCAATTTATTTCTGATAATACAAATTCTACCCCTTGCCACTTTCTTCCTTTTTACATCCATTATTAAGATAAAAAATCTTCAGTGTGTGAATGGGAAAGAGTTCTTTGTAAATTCTGTGTCGATTTAATAAATGTGTTTTACATCCTGACTGCAGTCCCCCTCCGTCCTCTGCTCACAGTTCCCCCCTCCCACCTCTCTCTGTTCCCACCCCCAATCCACTTCCCCTCCATTTTTGCTTAGGCAAGGACAGGTCTCCCATGAGTATCAGCAAAGCATGGACATCAAGTTGCAATATGACTAAGCACTTCCTCATGTATTGAGACTGGGAAAGGTGATCCAATATGAGGAGTAAAGTTCTGAAAGCCAGTGAAAGAGTCAGAGTGAGCACCTTCCCACTGCTAGGGGTCCCACAAGAGGACCAAGTTACACAACTGTTACATACATGCAGAGTGTGCCTAGGTCAGTCCTATGCAGGCTCCTTGGTTGTCAGTTCAGTCTCTATGTGCTCAGGGGCTAGTGAGATGGGTCAGCAGGAGAAGGTGCTTGTTGCCAAGCCTAATGACACAAGTTTAATTTTAAGGACCACCATATCCATTTAAATAAGTAAATCTAATTTTTAAAAAGATTTTTTTTGTTTTATGAGGTTTTGTTGCAAGTATTTATATGTACCATGTGTGTCTCTGGTACATGTGGAAGTCAGAAGAGAGTACTGTTATCTCCTGGAACTGGAGTTAGGACAGTTGTAAGCTGCCACGTGTGTGCTGGAAACTAAACCCAGGTCTTTTGCAATAGCAATAAGTGCCGTTAACTGCTGAGCCATCTCTCCAGTCCCCAATAAATATAATTTTTCAAATAAAATTATCTCAGTTCCTTTTAATAACCTAGTGCTAAAGCTGTTGATTCATGTATGTGGATTACATTTCTAGCCGTTACTAAAGTTTACTTAGATGGTAAACATAGCTGTTCTTAGACCTGCTGGGTAATTCTGTTTGTCTGTTTTCCATTTATTTCTGTGCCAAGATCTTTATTTCCTTGGTCTTACAGCATCCCTTGAGTTGCTGTGCCAGTAGTTTTTGTATGCAAAACTACTGTATCCACAGAGATACACAGGTTCTGTTGCTTTCTATATTATATAGAAAAGTTTATGTGTTGTTATTTTCAGATTGTGTATTAAGATATGGGTAAGTGGACTATTTTCAACATTCAGGAGCTACTTAATATTTTCTTCTTAATTTCTTCTCATTTTATGTGCTTTGATGTTTGCCTGAATTATGTCTGTGTGAGCGTGTAAGATCCCCCAGAACTGGAGTTAGACTGTTGTGAACTGCCCAGTGGGTACTGGGAATTGAACCTGGGTCCTCTGGAAGAGCAGCCATCTCTCCAGTGCTGATGAGCCATCTCTCCAGCCCCATGGAGTTACTTAATATTTTCTACTGAAGTAATCCAACGTGTGTGTGTGTGTGTGTGCGTGTGTGTGTGTGTGTGTGTGTAGGGGTAGGAGATGGAGCATTAACTCACTATTTGACAGTTGGTTTTATTTTCATAGCATTGAAAGATAGCTAAGTATCTCATAGAGAAGCTCTACTTCCAATATTAATATTTGAGGGATGGCCTGGAAAGATGGTTCAGTGGTTTAGCACACTGTCTGTTCTCATAGAAGACTTGGGTTTGGTGCCCAGCACTCACATAGGCAGCTCACAACTACCTGTAACTCCAGTTCTAGAGGACCTGACACCTTCTTGCTATAAAGCATTTGAATACATAGAGTGCATATATATAACCCTTAGGTACACACATAAAATAAAAACATTTTAAAAGCTTTAGACATTTAAAAGTGAGGTATGCTTTTTGGTAGTATTTGGAACTGATTTAAAAGCCTTGAACATGGGAGGCAAGCATTCTGCCATTGACTCTAATGAAGCATCCTAAAAAGTGTGTGCATGTGAGTACACACTTGTGTTTTATAAATATTTGTACTGCCTTTTTAAAAAGATGTGCTTATTTTATTGGATGTATATGAGTGTTTTGCTCACAGGTGTACCCATTGTGATATCTGTGTGATGCCACAGGTCAGAAGTGAGCTTTGAAACTAGAGTTCATGAATGGTTTTGAGCTGCCCTGGATGTGCTGGATGTAGAGTGCTGATCCCGTTCAGGAACCTGAGCCATGTCTTCGGGCCCCATACTTCTGTCAAACTTTTGCTTATTTTCTAAAAATTAGTAATAATATAACTTTGGGGGAGGGCTGTGCATGCCAGGGCCTGGGGCAGCAGTGTGGGTTCATTCTCTCAACTTCTCTGAGGTTCTGGTGATTTGAACTTGAGTTATTAGGCTCCCAACCATCCTTTAACTTTAATTTTCCTTTTCTATTATTTTCTTTTTTCTTGAGGCAGTTCTCATAGTCTGACTTTAACCATAACAATATGTAGTCCAGTCTGGTGTCTAAATTGTGATCTTCTAACTTCAGCTTCTTGAGTAACTTTACTTTCCATGTAAGAAATTCCGTATACTTAACCCAGTTCCCCTTTGATTAACTTACAGAATGTTTTCATCTAATTTTGTATATTATATCAAAAGCATATGCTTCAATGAATTACTTTGCTCAGAGGAAGCCTGAAATTTTGCAGTATGCTAACTGATTCAGTTTTTGAAATGTAGATCTAATTATTGATGTACATAACAAAGAGACTCTGCTGCAAACTTGAAATTCAGTGACCCAGACTACTCGCTAAGATGTTCTGTACGCTCACTGTGGTCACAGTATTTGCATGCTTCTTGACATAATCAAACGTGCAGATGAATCACTTCTGTCCTTTTCACTTTGTAGACGTGAGGAACCTGTACCCGTCGTCATCTCATTACACCAGGAACTGGGATAAACTGGTGGGTGAGATCAAAGAGGAAGAGAAGAACGAGAAGCTGGAGGGCGATGCGGCGTTAAACAAGTTGTTTCAGCAGATCTACTCAGATGGTTCTGATGAAGTGAAACGCGCCATGAACAAATCATTTGTAAGAAGATGAAGTTTTTTAATATTTCAAATATTTTTTTTAATTATGACAGTAAATTTTGTACACTTAAAGTAAGACTGAATAGTGAATTTGAGCCCACACTGCATGACCTGGATAGCTAGGAGAGTTTTTGGGTAGACTTTTCCTGAAGATTATTTCTTCAGACTTAGAGTAGTGGTTGGAGAAGTCCAAAACTTACAGAAGAGACAAACATTTGTGAGTTTAGGAGTTAGAAGGCTAAGAAATTCTAAGATTGCCACCATTAATAGGAACTTAGTTTTTAGTTGAATTTGTCACAACTACTCAATGAACTCCTACTTTTTGTCTTGTAGAATCATACATACATTTTTTTCTTCTTTAAAATGAACATAGAAGGGAAAGTCCCAGAACAATATTGAGCTGGTAGAAAGTTTCTATTTATTGTTCAATGACTTAATTTCTCAATTGATTAAGAAAATCAGGCTTTTGCTAGAGTAGATTAAATATTACCTGAGTCTGAGGTTCTATTGACAATTCACTGCTGCAAAACTGTATAAATTGTTTATTTATGTAGACTTAAAGTACGTGTGCTTGTTATGTATGTATGTATGTATGTGCTCCTCATGCCTGTGGAGGTTTATTAGTCTGTGTATTGTCACGTGTACTTGGCATTACCTCGTTTTCTACATGTCTTGTTGCCTTGGCGGCTGGCTTCCATCAGCAGCTACATGGCGTCTGCCTGACTCCTTTCTCCCTGCATTCAGTTGAATTTTCCCACCTACCTATATTCTGCCCTACCATAGGCTAAAGCAGCTTCTTTATTAACCATTGGTAACAAGACATGCACAGCATACAGAGGGGAATCCCACATCAGAGGTCAGAAGAGGATGTTGGAGCCGCTGGAACTAGAATTACAGGCACTTGCCAGCTGTCTTGTGTGTGCTGACAACTGAACTCTTCTGTAGTCCAGGCTGGTCTTAGATTTGCTGCATGGCTATGAACTCCTCAGTCTCCTTTCTCTAGCTCCCAAGTACCTCTGTGCCACCCTACCCAGCCATTATTTTTATTAAAGATACAATCATAAGTTTTACAAGGAAAAATAGTGTCTACACAAATCTTTCCAGGCAAGAAGCTCACTCTTGCTATTGAAATCCAAACGTGTGCTAGAGAGAACAGATGTCAGGTCAAAGATACATTACAGATCTGTATCCATTTTCATACAGAAAATTGACAGTTAAAATGAGTGATATATAGATATTCATAAAGTAAGCCATCTGTGTGGCAACATTGACCTTAAATGTGGAGCTTGCTTCTGTCTCTGGAGGAAGACAGAACATAGTGTCCTTTATGGTTGTTCAGTATAATTATATAAGACCAACATAGGAAATAATGAGGAGATATAAATAATAGCACAGTATTTTACCTTCTTTACAGAGAGAAGGGAAATTGTGGTCAGTGAATATGACCAGATTAAAAACTAGTCACTTATGTGAGTTTTATAACTGAGAGTCCTCTTAGGAGTAGCTGGTTTTACAGGCTTGTCACATTTAATTTACTCATTTTATTTGAAGCCTGCCATGTGCCAAGCCACCATGATTAGGACTACAACATAAGCACTGCCTTTACCCGGGTCCCACATCTGTGGTTCAGCTAACTTGTGATTAGCAGGAAGAGTTGTTTGTTTTGAGTACCTATTATATGGGCTTTTTCCTTGTTATTCCACAAGCAGTACTATATGATAGCTGCCTGATATTACACAGTATTGGATATTGCAGGCACTCTAGAGATAATTGGTAGTGTATTGGAAAAGTGTGCCTAGGTTATATAAAATTTCTGTGCCATTTTATATTAGAGATTCGTAGCATCTGCAGAGACTTGTGTGTGGAGGAATGCTGTGCCAGAGCCCTCTGTGGTTACCAAGGGTCTTTGTTGGTAAAATATAATCCATGTCTTTGAAGGACTCTCTTCTTTAGTTCTAGTCAATAAGAAGAAGGAGACTTGAGGTGAATTCTTAAGTGGATATGATGGTAATACTAGCACTTGGATGCTGAGACAGTTGGGTTGTGAGTTCAAGGTTAGTCTGAGCTACAGAGCAAGACTGTCTCAAAAACAAAAGAAAAAAGGAAGCAGTTCTTAAACTGCAAAAGTGCATTGTGTATTAATAGTAGTTATATAGAAGATTGATTATGGGAGTACAACTTGGTAATTATGAGTCTTAAGAAAGTTGGCTGATTGAGCTGGTGGTGCACACCTTCAATCCCAGCACTCGGGAGGCAGAGGCTGGTGGATCTCTGAGCTTGAGGCCAGCCTGGTCTACAGAGAGAGTTCCAGGACAGGTAAGGCTGTTACAGAGAAACCCTGTCTAGAAAATTCAAAAACAAAAAAACAAGTTAGTTGGCTGGCAAGTTAGCTGACCAGGCTGGCTGCTTGCTGCCAGACATGATCATCTGAGCTCAGTTCCTGGGTCGCCAGCAGTGGAGGAAGAGATCTGACTTCCACGAATTGTCGTCTGGCCTCCACATGTGTACCATGGCATGCCCGTGCCTATAAACATATGTACATGCACATACACTAACTAAATGTAATTTAAAAATAAGAGGCCAAGACCACCAAGAGGTGCTGACATTCACGTTAGGAAGGTAAGTAACGATGTAGACTGGGGAATATCATAGCAGTCCATGCAACGGAACTCAAAGGAATTTGCAGAAGGCATTAGTTATCTTGGGGCTCCAGTTCCAAAGGGCACACAACTTCCTGTGTGTGTGAGTAACACAGGCGATTAAAAGATTGCAGGTTTCAGGAATTCACACCACACTCTGCTGGAATCCATGTTAGTGAGTCACAACAAATGCGTGAAAGTTCTATTTCTTTAGAAGTGTGACCCTTAGCCTTTAACAGATGAGCGAGCTACCTCTCCAGTCCAAGTTTTTAATAATGTTCTGTATTGCATAACGCTTGGCTACGAAAAATCTGTTGGGTGATTTTCGTTATTAGGTAACACCTTTGCATGTGTTTATACCAATCAGGCATGTACTGTCCTTTTGACCTTTACCAGTAGCGTGACAGGACTTCTCGATATCAACAAGAGATAGATGTTTGACGCTGCTGCCAAGTGTAGCATAAAATATTCCTTTGCAGTAAAATATGCACATATATTAATTTGTATATTCTGAAATATACTAGATTTTTATTGTAATTTTAGAATATACATATATGTATTTATATGTATATTATCTTGAGGTTGCAGTTCCAAAGGGTATACAACTTCCTGTGCTTGTTAGTAATATAGCCAATTAAAAGATTGCATGTTTTAGGAATTCACATCATACTCTGCTGTGATCCATCAGTGGGTCTTTTATTACAACAAATATATGGAAATTCTATTTTGTGTGTGTGTGTGTGTGTGTGTGTATGTATGTATGTATGTATGTACTTATATGTATATTCTAAAATTACAATAAAAATATAGTTTAGTAAACTAGTCAAACTAATAATTGTTGTCAAGTATTATATAATTGTAAGAATTGTCCTTTTATATGACTTGCAGCTCAGTAAGTGTGAACTAGAGTTGTATGTTGTATTGTGTATATTATTAATGGTTACAATACCACTAGGCAGTCAAAATTCTTTGGCTGTGTCATAATCTTATGACCACCACTATTGTATGAGCAATTCATTGCAGACCAAAACATTTTTGTGAAGTGTATGATTCTTCATATGCTAGAATTGTTGGTGGGTTGTGTATTTATTACCTTATAGTAGACACCCAGTTCACAGGATATTGACTTGTGTACCTCTGTTGTGTGTTCCTTACTTAAAAAAGGAAAAATCCAGAGTACAATAGGATGTGTTTGACTAAGAGAGAGCATTAAATAGGGATCCTTAAAATTCTGTTTAACTGGTGTAGAAAGTATATTTTGCCTGGCTTTTACTGTCTTCACCAAAAAAAAAAAAATAAAAAAAAAAAAAAGATTATGTCATTTTGAGGGGAAGGAATTTTATTTTCGTTTGAAGGTGAGTTTTTCCATGCCATGCCTCTACTAATTAGCAGAATACATGACCCTTAGTATGGCAGTGTATGCACAGGATCTCCCAATTACTCTAGATTTGTCTTTTGTCAGGTGTTTGGTCCATTCAGGAAACTATTGAATTTTGATACATAATGCAGGAGTGAACCTTTTCTTTTTTTTTTTTTAATTGCAGATGGAGTCTGGTGGTACAGTCTTGAGCACCAACTGGTCTGATGTAGGTAAAAGAAAAGTTGAAATCAACCCCCCTGATGATATGGAATGGAAACAGTACTAAATAAATCAGTTTGCTATTACAGCATTGTGTTGTTCACGAGTGCCCATTGAGTGCTTTAGCACACTCTTGAATTTTGAACAATATCTTTTTGAAAGATTAAACCTCTTTGTCTCTTTGTGGTTTAGAAATGATTTTCCTGCAAGTATTCTAAAGAGTGATGATCACATCTTATCACTTCTGTCCATAAGGATTTCACCCATCCTAAAACTGAATGAAATGTCATTTGTTCCTAGATAGATGCTCTGTCTACTTATGGGGAGCGGAGAAATCTTTAATAACATCTTGGGTAATTGCCTTATTTTTGATGCAGTGTTCTGTTAATAATTTATTAGACCTGGCGACTTTTTGTGGGCATACATTTTTCAACTTCAGTGTTGTATTTACTTTTAAGAGCTGCTTTTGAATGAGTTATAAATATAATCTTTCTATGAAGGTTGGTTTATTTACCTTTCTCTTAAGTTTTTACTGAGAACATAGAAAAATTACTGCAGAGAATTTCCTCATACGGTTTTTATGAGAATTATTTGTAATTGCACCCAGATTTTGGTTCTCCCTTCCAAATTCCAAAATAAAGTGTATATTCTGGAGTTTACTACCACGGAGATTTAACCGTCCCGAAGGTGATCTGGAGCGGAGGCCGAGAGTGGCCCCGACCACAGCTGCACTGCTTCTGCTCTGCCGCCATGGCTTCTGCTTTAGTACTTTGGTGTTTTGCTACTTTGAGTATAAATTAATATGCATGTGGTTAGTATTTGTGCCTGAAATCTATAGATTCTTTGAGGATAATAAAAATTAAAAGACATCATCAATTTCAGAGTTTATAATATAACTGAGAGAAGGCTAACATCCAGGAAAAGGTTACAAAATGGTTGAATTTTGGACATAAAAGTTTTGAAATCAAAAAATGTATTCATTCACCATAGGTGACCTGCAGATTGGGCATCATTTTGTCAACCTTTACAGTGTAGTGGTAGGTGTATGTTCTAGGTGTGGCAGGCATTTTTGTGGCCAGGCATTCTCTTGTCTCCTCAGAGCTGATGAGGAAGTGAATGACAGACATGTTGGTAAGCATTTTATTTATCTGTAGGAGGCATAGGAATTGGGCTTCTTCCTTTCAGCCCTCAATAGTATGTGTTAGATTTCAGACAGTTGCAGTGAGCAGGTTCCAGACCCTTTGATAATGGCTGTGGAAGCACACAGGAACAGGAACATAGGCGAGGCTGCCTGTGCGCTAAATGCTGGCTACTGGCATCAAGGTTCACACCGTCGTATCTGGCTTATTGCGCAGGTGTGTCCTTTGCCCACATAAAGCTGCAGGCTACCGCCTCGTTCTTGAGGGCAAAGGACAAGGTGAAAGTGACTTTGCTAGAGTGAAGTTCCATGGTCTCTCCTTTGGGTTGTGCTCTGGACGTTAAATTTTTCTCAGTATTGATCCCGAGTGCCAGGGGGATCTGCTACAGAAGCAATTTAATAAGCCAGGACACTGTTCAAGAATCCAAAGTCCAAATCTCTGTCTTTCTAATTTCCAGGAGTTTAGCCTTTTTTGTCCCCCAAATTCTGTTTTTATTTTATGTGTATGTATGTTTTCATGAAGGTGTGTGTAGTGTGTGTGTGTATGAGTGTGCACACCCAGTGACACAGAGGCCAGAAGAAGGGTGTAAGAGTTTCTGGAAATAGACTTACAGACACTTGTGCTAGAGCCTCCATGTGGCTGCTGGTCAAACCTGGACTCTGCGAAAGCAGCAAGTGCTCTTAACGCCAGAGCCACCCTCTTTTAACCCTTTATGTCTTAATTTTCTTATTAAATAATATCTAGGGTCTTAGAAATTATAACTAATATTTTGTAAATATAAATCAGTTTTACCATTCAACTTTAAGAGTTTTTATAGTTGGTATTTTTGCATTATTTCTAAAGCTATATTATATAGAGATGCTTATCCATTAACTACATTTGCTTCACATTGTTCAGGATTTTGCTGAAGTAAATTGACTTCCTAATGTATGACTAAAAGCATTATAAAATATATCTAAGTACATAGATTTATCTGTCAAAGGAGTTTTGAGAAATGGGTCAGGTTTGCCCAAAAGTGCCCATTCCAGAGTACTGCGTGTTTCCCTTTTCAGATCATGGAAGCCTGTAAATTTCCACAGTTCTGAATGATTTGTTGTCTACTCTCTCAGTGTACCTATTAATTGCTTTGTCTTTTTAGACTTTCCTGTTTATTTCTCAAGTTTTGCTTCTTTTAGTGTCTTAAATTGGCCTCATACATTGTCACCTTGGACTCTAGTCCTCCTCCTCTACCTTCCAAGAGTTGCTATTGCCACATCTGAAGCATGCTGTCCCTTCCCCCTTTTCTCTCTCAGAGCTTAGGGAATTAAAGTACAATGGTGTTCTGAATTTTCTGATAAGCCTTGGGTTATTTAGAGACTATCTTTTGCTCTAAATCCTTCTAAAATACATTTGTCTAAAATGATAAACTAGAAAATATATTTGTGTGAAGCAGTGTTAAACTGAGTGGGGGGCAGCACACAAAGGATTTGGAATGTGAAAATATGTTCAAATTCACACATAATTAAAGACAGAAAAGAAATCGGCTGAAGGCATAATTTATACACCCAAAATGGTGGCAAAGATGAACAGGTTGGATGCTGGAGGTGGAGCTTTGTGGTAGAGTGTGTGCTGCTAGTGTAGATGTGGTCTCTCCCCTTCCTCTTCCATTCAGGGTCTTGTGTGTAGAGCAGGCTATCCTGGTGTTGACATAGTTGGTCCAAAACTATCCTACAACTTGAGGCAACTCTCCTGCCTGGCTTCTGAGTTCAGGGATTGCAGAGGATCTAGGATTTCAAAGCTGGCCTGGGTTACATGATGTCTGGCATTGCAGCACAGGTCCTAGAGCCTGATGCTTTTGCCACATGCTGAGGCAACTATGCAATGGGACAGTGGGCAGATCCAGAGAATGAGGCCCCTAGATTCCATGTTACACATGCACATGCGCATGCGCTTACACACACACACACACGTCCGTGTTTTTTTCCAAAAATTGGTTGAAATGACAGTAAATGTTAGCATACAACAGATGGAACAGAAATTAGAATTTGTACATGTATCAGGAATCATAGCATACTTTTTACTGTGGATACCCTGATGGTATAGATGTGAATTAATTTACATTGTTGTGTATTTTCAGAAAATTCTCAATTTAGTACTCATTATTTCTGCCTTTTCTTCCTTACATTCCAAATTGCAAGTAATATCACATTATTGTAATCTTTGCTTACCAAAGCAGTTGTTTTAGAATAAAGTACATTTACAGCAGAATAAATATGGAGATGAGATTGGATTACACAGAATGACTGGTTGTGAACAGGAACTTAAGGATAAATGTGGTGTAGGGTTTTATATTTAATGGTTTTCTTAAAACCAGATGTGCAGAACAGATTTTTATGGGCCATCTGCTAAGACTAAAGGTAGTTTGAAATCTCTCATTCCCTCAACCATATATTTGCATTCCTGCCTGTCAAGATGGGGAGACAAAAGGAAAACGGATGGGAAGTCTAGAGCTAGAATGGGTCTTAAATACTGTCTGGTCCAAAGCTTTGGCAGGGGCGGGGGCAATCTATAAGCAAGTGTTCTCATTGCCTTTTTTTTTTTTTAATAGTGGTTTCTGAATCTTAACTAATCTAGTGACATCACAGTTTCTTGAAATATCAGGCAGCCGGAATTATGGCATTGGGAAGGTGCTTTGTATAATATTTAGGATAAACTACCTGGAAAGCTCATGGGGGAGCAGTTGTTTCAGTTTTGAATGTAGACTTTGTTTTATCTTGAAGGCTTGAGTTACTAGGTCGGGTGTAGTGAGTGCTGGTTTTGAAGCAGTCGGCCTTGGGAGGGTGATTCAGAGCACTTAGTGAAGGGGAAAGTAAACACCCTCCGGGCCTCTTAGGCATCTCAGTTCCTATCCACCAATAGAAATTAAATGGCAGGGCTGGGGGCTAAAAAGATGCTCATGGAGTTTAGAGCACTCTTGAAGAGGACCTGGGTTCAATTCCCAGCATCTACACAGTGACTAACAACTACCTCTTCTGGCCTCCCAGGTTACCAGGCATGCACACAGTATACATACATACATACATGCAAGGAAACACTCATTTACCTTAAAAAATAAGACAGCCGAGCATATAGACTATTGGTAGAGCACTTTCCTAGTGTGTTTGAGGGCTTGGGTTCAATTCCCAATGATACTGAAGATTTTGTTTTTGTAAGGTAAAGGAGAGTTGCTCAATGGTTATTTTGAACCTTGGGGATCTTCAAATGAAGTTATTGAGTCAGAGTCTGGCAGTGCACATGAAAGGAAACCTGCCATTGCAGTCATGGTGAAGCATTGAAGACAGGGATTTGGGCAAGACACAGGTCTGTCACTACCTTGTGTTTAAATGGAGCGGAGAACAACAGAGGACCATGCTCGAGTCATAATGAGGCACTGTCTTTTATTGCCTGTGTGCTGTGCATAGGCACAGAATGACTAAGGTGTGAATGCTGTTTGAATAGGCCGAGAGAAGTGTAGTAGCGTATACTTACGGAGATCCTTTTTTTTAAAAAAAATTGGTTGTTTTTTATTACTTTTATACTTAGTAATAGGTATATGTTGGTTTGTTTATTTTGAGATAGGGTCTTTAGGACAGGCTGGACTCAAACTTTTAGCAATCTTTCTGCCTTGGCTTCTCAGTGCTGTGTTTACAGACATTGCACCATGCCTGGTTTCTGGAATCTGCTAAGAGAAATTTCATGCTTGACTAGTTGTTCCAGGTTTTTGGACTCGTGTCAGTATAAGTCAAACTCATTATAAAAAGATAGGCAATAGTGTAGGCTAATTAAAGGTAGGCCTTTGAAAAGAAAATTCTTTGCTAGGAAATGATCCACTCCTTGGAATGCCAAAGGATAGGAAGCCAAAGTAGTCACATCTCAAAAAAGTAAAATAATTGCAAATACATCTGCACACATGAAGTCATTTTTAAAGGTA